GCCAACAGGTTCTCCTTGCCTGCAGCCTAGACAGCCAATTTATCCAGACAGGAGAATTGCAGTAGAGAAAGAGTAATTCACACAGAGCCAGCTGTGCAGGAGACTGGAGTTTTGTATTTAGTCAAATCAGTCTCTCCCAAGAATTTGGGGATTGGAGTTTTTAAGGATAACTTGGTGGGCAGGGGCTCTGGAGGTATGGATGGCTGATTGGTCAGCATGGAGACGAAATCATAGCAGGTAGAAGTGAGTTTTTCTTGCTGTCTTCTGTCCCTGAGTGGGATCAAAGAACTGGTTGAATCAGATTACCTGTCTGAGTGGGTCAACTGCTATATTGGAAGGCAGGGTCTGCAAAATATCTCAGGCACTGATCTTAGATTTTACAAGTGATGTTATTCCCAGGAGCAATGTGGGGAGGTTCAGACTCTTGCAGCCAGAGGCTCCATGGCTCCTAAACCATAATTTCCAGTCTTGTAGCTAATTTGTTTGTCCTACAAAGGCAGACTGGTCCCCAGGCAAGAAGGGGTTTATTTCAGGGAAAGAGCTGTTATCTTTGTTTCAAACTTGAACTATAGGCCAGGCATGGTGGCTCACAGCTGTAATCTCAGCACTTGGGGAAGCTGAGGCAGGCGGATCACTTGAGGCCAGGAGTTTGAGACCAGCCTGGCCAATGTGGTGAAACCCCGCCTCTACTAAAGATACAAAAATTAGCCAGGTGTGGTGGCACAGACCTGTAATCCCAACTACTTGGGAGGCTGAGGCAGAAGAATCACTTGAACCTGGGAGGCAGAGATTCCAGTGAGCCAAGATTGCACTACTGCACTCCATCCTTGGTGACAGAGTGAGACTCCGTCTCCAAAAACAAACAAAAACCAAAGTTGAACTATAAATTAAATTCCTCCCAAGGTTAGTTCAGCCTGTGCCCAGGAATGAACGAGGACAGCTTGGAGGTTAGAAGCAAGATGGAGTCAGGCCAGATCTCTTTCACTGTCACCGTTTTCTGTTATAATTTTTGCAAATGTGTCTTCAGTCCTTGTATCCATAATACCTAGAAATTTGATAAATACTTGTTAAACAGCCAAAATGAATGTCCACGGCAAGAATCGACTATTAGGCATGGTGGTGCACACCTGTAGTCCCAGCTACTCAGGAGGCTGAGGTGGGAGGATCGCTTGAGCCCAGGAGGTGGAGGCTGCAGCAAGACGTGATTGTACCACTGCACTCCAGCCTGGGCAAGAGTGGGACCCTGTCTCAGAAATAAGTAAGAGTCCTGACTGCGAGCTACAAAGAGTCCATCTGTGCTATAGGAGGCATCCACACAGCACACACCCACTGCTACCAGCTAAGCAGTTCATGCAGGCTGTGATAGATGACACTGTTCCTCTCTTTGGATGATTGGGGTTCACTACTACACTGCACAGGTCAGCAACAGCATGTACAGAAATGGGCTGAGGCGGGAGACTCGTCAGTCCCTGGCATCTGAACATGGCCCACACTGTGCCTTCTGTTTCATCCTTAGACTTTGGAGCTGTTAGGGATTTAAATATTAATGTGCTGATTTCACTGAGCCCTGGCCTTTCTTTGGTGCCTGACAGGTACACTGTAACGAGAAATTAGATCGTTCATTCATCCCTTCCCCTTTCCCTCCCCTCTCCAGGGAACAGGGTTTTTGTTCTCGGAGCTTGGGGGGGTGGCAGAGTTCCCCAGCTAGAATCAAGTAACCTTTAGTGCATATGCAAATCCAGCATTTGAAATTTCTGGTTCTCTGTAGCCTTATTATTCTAGAGGGCAGCCAGCTTTCCTTTCATTTCATTTGGGGTCCGCTTCGCCTGCTTTGCACCTACTCTGGTGTGCAAGCTCGACACAGCCCCAAGAAGGCTGCGCCCCAGGAAGGAGCCCACCATGCTCTGAGAGTCATAAAGAAGGAAGCAGACCCTTGGCAGGAGAGAAAGGAAGGCCTGAGGCGGGTTGTGTTTGTGATGCAGATGCTCCTGCCAGCCGTGCAGCTCTCTGAAAGGGGGTGGAGCTGAGAAGCGACCCAGCGACCCAGCGAGGCTCCTGCAACCAGGGTCGGGAGGATTTCGCCTTCCTGGATGGGTATTGGTTCTCCAGACCTAGCTTTATTAAGTGCCAGCGAGTTACATGCACACAGATCACTCAGATTCCACAGACACCTCCCCAGCAGCCCCTAGCAGGACCATGGGAGGAGACTCATGTCGTTAGGCCTCTGTCCCCTGCGTGTGACATCTGCAGGGAAGGGCACTCCTAGCAACTGTCAGGGGACTAGCATAAACCCTTTTTGCTTCAGGGGTCTCTTCCCAGGTAATGGCCTCAGTCCTCTTTGCACCCTGGCCGGCTGCAGGAGCCTCCTAACTGCTCCCCTCTGTTGCGTCCTCACCCCCCACCCATTCTCCAGAAAGATCATGGCCTGGGCTTGCAGCCTTCTGGTGGCTTCCCGTGAAATCCCAGGTCCTTACCACAATCTGTGCTCTGTGGCCTGGCCCGGCCCCTGCCCATCCTTCCTCTTCAGTCGCTTCTCTGATGGCCACATGGCCTGTCCCCTCACTTCCCTCAGATGCCAGGGTTCCCTCACCCTCCAGTCCTGGCAGCCCTTCCCTCCCTTTGCTCAACAAGGCGCCCAAGAGCTATCTGCTCATGGCTGATCTCCCCGACCAGACCACAGGCTCCCAAGGCAGCTGTGATGTCGTTTTGGTTTGCGTCGTATCCCTAGCTGCTAAAGCAATGCCTGGCAAGTAGTAGGTGTTCTAGAAAGGTGTATTGTGTTAATGTGTGAATACTGACTTCCCCTCCTCAGTCACTGAGGCGGGGAGGATGTTTGGCTCTTCTGAGGCATGTGAGAGTTGGTTGTGCCTTTGGTTTTTGTTTTTTGAGTCTCGCTCTGTTGCCCAGGCTGAAGTATAGTGGTCCATTCTTGGCTCACTGCAACCTCCGCCTCCCATGTTTAAGTGATTCTCCTGCCTCAGCCTCCCAAGTAGCTGGGATTACAGGCGTGCGCCACCGTGCCCAGCTAGATTGTGCCTTTGTTAGGTTCTCTGTGACTTTTGTCCACCATGCCATTCCTGAAAGAAATCTTTTTTTAAAATTATAAGAATTACTAGAACTAGCACGGCACTGTGGTGCGCAGTCTTTGTCTCAGCTAATTGAGAGGCTGAGGCTGGAGATTCACTCGAGCCCAGCCTGGGCAACATAGCAAGACCCTGTGTCCAAAGGAAAAAAAAGGCAAAATCAGAATTAGCAGAACTGATTTCACATGTGTAGGTAGCAGATGGTGGCCATGAAATTCAGGTCTGTCTGAAGGCCGCCAGGCCTGGTACAAAACTGCGTAAGGCCAGCACAAGGCGCGGGCAGGCTCCCGAGTGGCTGGACTGGAAGAGATGCTAAGTTCATGGCCTCCTGACTCCACCCAGCACTCCCTGGGCCCAGCGACATTCCTTCCTGAAGCCTGAAACTTCACCTCCACCTCAGGAAGCCATCTGCCTGGGGATAGGTTCTTGCAAAAACGAAAACACTCATTTCCAGAGGCAATTAATTCTTTAGAAGTGTGTCGGATTTTTGGTACAAAATCCTGGTTTCCATGTTGGCTTCATGCTCGGTGCTTTATGAGAAAAATCCCTTTTCTCTGCGGTTCTGTTCATTGTATTGTAAACCAATCATAGATTATTTTAAGGTTTTGAGTTAGAGTGTTTATCCAGTTTTATGAGGGAAATAAAGGAATTCCACGATGAGAAAAATGGGGGATTTCCTGCAGGGCTCGGGGTTACGGGAGCAGCAGGTAACGTAACCTGATTCATTAACCTGAGCCCAGCGGGATTGGTGGGGGTGATGGGGACACAGATTAGGGCACTCGACTCAGGCACAGGACCCCGGCAGAACATGCCCAGGTGCTCCTAGACATGGGCCCTTGCAGACTTTCTGAGGCCTCGGTTTCTTCATCTTTCCAAGGTGTGACCCCAACCATCATCTCCTGAGCTTTTGGCCACAGAGCTCTGGGCAGGCTTCCACCATGACCCCATTTTGGAGACGGGGAGTTGCCGCAGCCACACTGCTGCTCAGTGGTAGAACCAGCATCTGACCCAGGCCACCTGGGGCCTCCAGAGGCCCTGCTCTTAGCCAGCAGCTCAGACCCCAGTCATGTGGGGCCATTTATTTATTTTTAAGATAGTCTGCCAAGCTCTATCTAAGATAGAGCACTCCTGGAGTGCAGTGGCGCGATCTCGGCTCACTGCAACCTCCACCTCCTGAGTTCAAGCAATTCTCCTGCCTCAGCCTCCCGAGCAGCTGGGATTACAGACGTGCACCACCACACCCAGCTAATTTTTGTATTTTAAGTAGAAATGGAGTTTTGCCATGTTGGCCAGGCTGGTCTCGAACTCCTGACCTCAGGTGATCCACCCCTCTCAGCCTCCCAAGTGCTGGGATTACAGGTATGAGCCACCACACCCGGCCCACATGGGGCCATTTAAATTAAAATCAAATCAACTGAGTTCCTCCATTGCATTGGCCACGTTTCAAGTGTGCAGAGTGACACATGGCCAGTGGCTGCTATCACTGATGTCGCCACGTCCTTCATCACAGGAAGATCCCTGGCAGCCCTGCTCCCTACCCTCTGCCCTCCTGATGCTCCCTTGTGACTTGTTACAAAAGTGTGGGCACAGCTAAAAAAAAAAAAAAAAAAAAACTGATGGCTGTGAGAATACTGTCACTCGCTGATGCCTTCTGTATAGAAAAATAAGCCTTAGACAGATCTTCACAAGAACGTCGTGACGTGTTCCAAGCCAAATTGCAGTTCAAGAGAAGGTTATAAATCTCAATAACAATTGTACTCATGTTCCTCTCCTGGAAACTAAGAGGAAGGTAGCTGAAGAAATTCTCCCTGCCCAGTTAAATCTTGTTTTTCGGGTACTTTTGGGTTCCAGGGTCACATCAGCAATGGCCCAGGACAAACGAGGGGGAGCCTTCATCTGTACTTTGTGTCTTTCCAGGGTGGCAATGACCATGAGATCTTCACAGACCCCAGGACCGTGGGCTACTCCGTGACAGCGCCTGAGGACACACGCAGGATCTGTGAAGAGCTCTTCTCCTAACGCGGGAGCAGGAGGGTGGGGTCCTGGCTGAGAAGCCAGCATGGGGCATTTGGTGGCCAGAGCCGAGGGTCCTCCCACACGTGCTCACCCACCCGCAGCCCAGCCAGGCTCTGCATCCTTTGCCAGGCACATGCAGTCTGGACCTCCACCCCTGGCGTGCCTTGCCTCCATCTCCAGTGCCAGAAGCTTCCAGAAGGAAGGAGAAAACTATTGTCAAGAATGGTTCAGAGGAATACCTCCCACAAAAGGTCTTCCCCACCCACCCTCAGCCCCCAATCTAATACCCTGATACGTGCAATCATGTGGTTTTGGCGGAAATTTCCCCATAATTCTAGGATGATACAGAAAGGAAAAATGTGCCTGGACCCTCCCTCTTGGTGGGTCTGTGGAATCGTAAGTGGTTTTTTAATGGACCCCTGCATCAGCACCAACAGTGGGGGTTTGGTAATGAGAAACAATGACAGGCCATCTGCAGTGACCCACCCCAGGACAAAATTGACAAACACCTGGAACGAAGCTCCCACCTGCATGTCACCTTGATGGGGACTGTGAGCAGGGCAGTGTTATGCCCAGTGACTAGACGCACCTTGCGTTTTCCCGTGTGAGGCTGAGGCCTGCTGGACAGATGGCTGGCCGAGTGGGAGCAGACCCTAGGGAGTTTGCACCTCAGCTGGGCCGGAGAGTTGATGCTGGCAAAACAGTCACCCGGGTCCAGAGAAACCAATGTGGGATGTCAGACTTCATCAAAACGACCTTCTGGTTGGCCCTGGCTGGCTTCCCAGAGGCGTTGGCCTCTAGTTTCTCAGGGATCAAGCAAGAGCCTGGCCAGGGAACAGGAAGAGGAGCTGCTCTCCTATCTGCGCCCACCCAGGCCCTCACCCAGATTTTACAACTGAGGGGGCCGAGTGCAGCTGCAGCCAGGTCCGCGTCCCTCACTCTTTCTACCTTCTGCACCTTCTTTGTGAAACTGGAAGGATCCCAGGCCTCAGCCAGAACACGGTAGAAGAGAACTTTCCTAGGAAAACGGTTCATGTGTCACTTTTCAGGATGTGGAAACGCTGGGACCCATAGACCCTCCATTGCTTGGTGCTGGGGCTGTGTGGCCTCACTGGGCACTGAATCTGAGGCCAGGGGGGCTCAGACTGCCCTGCATTCCTGCCTCCCAGCCCACAGCCAGGCGCTTTCATCACAGCTCAACCTGGTTCCCTCCAAACCTCCCAGCCACTCGGCCTTGCAGCTCTCTTGAGCTCCGGATCCGGTGGGGTGAAAGCAGCCAGCTCCTCATCTCGGTGACTTGCAGGACACGGCCATCCAGTGGCATCTTTCCTTGTTGAATGTTGCAAATGATACGGTAATGACCTTCCAAAATGGTTAGTACATTAAAGTGATTTTATTTCCTATTTCTCATTCTGATTCCTTTTTCCTCCTGTTTGCAGATTCTGGAAGGGAACCCCAGCCCTTCTAGGTCTGAGAGCCACTCTTTCATTGCTCCAGATTTCTGTCCCGTCGGGGCCCCTCCCTCTGTGGAGATGCATGTTCCTGTTCCTGACAGACTCCTCCCCCGCTGCTTTTCTGCCCACTGGGTATTCCTTACAAGCCTGCCATTCCTTACAAGTTTCCTTAACATAGTGCGTCAAAGCGAGACAACTGAGTCTTACTCAAACTTGTTTTAACCGGAAATGGAGGGTCGCTGCTGTGTCCCCCGACACAGGGCTGCTGCCCTCAGGTGGGTACCGAGTCCGCCACGCTGGGCCCTGATGCGCAGAGGCCTGGGCCGCTCCTGCCCCAGTTCCCACAGTGGCTGCTTCAGACCCTCCCCAGGCCCCTGGAGCCCCTCCTGTACTGCCTGCTGCCTCCCTCTGCGGTCAGAATTGACACTCCCCTCCAGACTCAAAAGGACTTGGAACTTCCCCTTTCCTTCCACCTTGTCATTGCATTGCAGCCCAGGCCAGCTTCCTGGGGTTACTCCAAGGGTGTCCGCTTGTCAGGCACTGTGGTGGGATGTCAAGTGTTAACAACTAAATGATGCCTACGCAGCGCGTCCTGGTGCCTTCCACGTGTCCCCAGAGCAGCAGGTTCTGCACGTGGCAGGTAAGAGCACGGCTGCCAAGGCTCCAAGCTTAGTTCTGCTGGTACAAGCTGCTGCGTGACTTACGGTGAGTTCATCTTCGCCTCAGTTAGTTCATGTGTCAAATGGTATAGTCCTTACCGTGTATGGAATTTAAAGCACTTTGAACAGTGAGTGTGAGCCATTACTAACTCAAAGAATACCCCCGCCCCCTGCAACCCAGAACCCTATAAAGCAGGGACAGCCCCCTCTCTCTGCTTTAGGGGGTTAGCAGGATAAAGACACCATCACAAGAAATTTAAACACAGTAGGTAAGTTTTAAGCCAGAGCAAAGCAGAGGTTGCACCTAGGCAAGCCTAGCACTATTGAAAGTCACCATCCCCAGCACTGCAGAAGCTGACCCTGAACTCAAGGTCAGGGCTTAAGCCTCAGGGAAAAGGCCCGCGTTGAACCTGAGCGGCTGGGAGTGCAGGGCAGGCCTCTGGCTCCCTGGAGGGAGAGAGGCTAGCTGGGAAGTTGAGCTTGAACCTGATCCCAAGGGAAGGGCGTAGGGCCCGTTCATGATCTGTCCGGGAAGGGCCCTCCAGCTACTGGAAGGGGAGTGCCCCATAGGGGCCAGAAGAAGAACCAGTTGGGCAGATGTTGCTGTAATCCGGACACATTCAGGCATACGTGGCTTTGAATCACTTCCTCTCCACGGGCTGCCTCCTCTCCCCCCCATCCCAAGTGTTCTGGCTGTGGGCCCCAGCTGGCCACCTCAGCCCAGGCAGGCTCCTCCAACCCGAACGACAGGTAACCTCCACACTGCCCGCCGCGGCACACTGCCCGCCGCGGCACACTGCCCACCGCTCCACGCTGCCCGCCACAGCACACTCCCAGCCACTCCACGCTACCCGCCACTCCACGCTGCCCGCCGCGGCACACTGCCCGCCACTCCACGCTCCCAGCCACGGCACACTGCCCGCCACAGCACCCCAAAGTCAAGACCTAGAACTCATTCCACCTCCCTCACCGGAGGCTGCTTTCCCAAACGTCTTCAGTCAGTTTTGCGTTTTCATTGTTGTTTGCCTATTGTTTTTTTAGACGTCACTGTTGCTTGCCAGGCTGGATGCGAATGGGCTGGGGTCTCGGCTCACTGCTAACCGTCCGCCTCCAACCACTTCAAACATTCTGCCTCAGCTTTCCCAAGTAGCTGAAGGATTATAGGCGGCCTCCGCAGCCGACGCCCAGCTATGACTTTTCTCGCTCGTTGTTTAGTAGAGACCAGGGTTTCACGCACTGTTGCGTCAGGTGCGGGTCTCAAACTCCGTGGAACCTCAGGTGATCCACCTACCTTGGCCTCTCAAAGTGCTGAGGATTACACGGCATGAGCCACCCACGCCGCGGCCGTTTTTTTTTTTTTGAGACGGGAGTCTCGCTTCTGTTATCCAGGCTGTTAGTACAGTGGGGCAGAGATCTCGAGCTTGCTGGAACTTCGTGTCTCCAGGTTCCAAGGCGATTCTCCTGGCCTCAGCCTCCCAAGTAGCATGGGATTGTTTTTTTTTA